ACAAGGTGACCGACTACTTATACTAAGTGGAGAGGGTTAAGGGCAAGGCTACCGCACAGTAGGTAAGGGTAAAGGGGATGCGAATATGGTATAGGTGCGTTGGCAACATAGCCGGATTAGTGATGGGTGGTCGAATGTGGAATGAGACCGAGAAACGTTGGAACGGACCAACGGTAAGAATACAACGTGCGGGAATCCGCAGTCAAAGGGAACAGAAAGGGGAAAGCCACATTGGTGGCACGAGTTAGACCGAGTCATAGGTGCGGGACCGCATTGGCGGTCGAATCAACGGAGGAACGTGCGTGCACGTGCATAGAGGCGGGTGATGCGAGGGACGGGAACGGTCCCGAGGATCCGGTCAACGGAAAGTCGGTAAAGGAGGGCGAGCCGGTAGATGGTGAGGGCGAGGATGAGAGGAAAATGATAGGGGGGCCACGTGACCGATGTTACTTGTAACACTTGAAGCATATGCGAAGCGCCAGGTGGCCCTTTGGATCACGATGTGGGACAACTGCCTAAGAAAATGGCGTGCAGTTCCTGGGGTGAGCTTACCCCCAGCAGTAGCGGTGCCCTGAATACAAGTAGGATAACATATCTATTTGCAAGGCTTCTTTTTCCGATGTGTGGGGTAGCACTGTAGGGATTCATTTCTGGCTAGGCTTGTAGAGACTGTCTTTACCTTACCTTATGTTGGCACTTTGTAGCTTACATAATCAAGTTACCTTTTCACCAGTTACCAGTATGAGTCTGAGTCTTCAGCAAGTTTTTATGACATTTCCTCTCCTCTGAGCCTTGAGCCTGGTCCAGAAACCCTTTAGGGTCAAATAGCAGCTAGGTTCTGCAAGACCCAACATTGTTCAGACTCACCATCTGAATTGTTGTACCTTCAGCGCTATATATAATCAATGATTGCATCAGTCTCCAATTTTAGAAGGATGTATTAGTAGCGCTATATATAATCTTTGATTGGCAAGTCTCCAAGATCGCGATCGTAGAAGGATGCAGCCAGGAACATGGAAAGAGAAGATCCGAAGCATCATATATGACAGTCAAGGGCATTATGCATTACAGAGAACACTACTATACATACAGTTGAGGGGATTATGCATAATGTCAAGGACTACAGGTAACCATGCATAACGGCCTGTGTCTAATAAGCCATGATTATGCATAACACGGTCAAGTAAGGGATGAGCTTTGAAGATTTAGCCTGAGTTGTTGGACTAGCAATAACTCAGCCAATCCTGGATCATTTTGCATAAACTTATTTTTGTTTTTGTCGCAGAATGAAGAGCTACTATCCCAGATACTCAAAACCCGCCAGATACCCTGGGGTATACCCATGCAGTTCCCTAGGTGTGGACCAATGAAGCAACCTCCCAGCTCATTCAATATCTCACACTTCATCATGCCAAAGGTGGAGACAGTATCAACTTCAAACAGGCAACCTTTGCTGCTGCAGTGGTATTCCTGGCTAGGCTTGTAGAGACTGTTCTTACCTTAGTGTTATGTTGGCACTTTTGTAGCTTACATAAGAAAGTTATCTTTTCACCAGTTACCAGTATGAGTCTGAGTCCTCAGCAGTTTTCTATCATATTTCCTCTCCTCTGAGCCTTGAGCCTGGTCCAGAAACCCTTTAGGGTCGAATAGCAGCTAGGTTCTGCAAGACCCAACACATTGTTCTGAATCACCATCAGAATTGTTGTACCCACAACTGGAGCCCACCGCGAGGGTTTCTTGTGTTTCTAGGCTCTTCCAGCTCTCCAATCATTCCCCAAATCCGCCTATTATCCCACCACAGTCATTCATTATCAGCTTCTCCCATATTCCCAAGTTTTCAGCTTCTTGTCCTTCTCACCAGTGCATTGATAAGCATTTTTTCCACGTGCCTTTCGAGCGGATCTCTCGCAAACTTAGGGTCATATTCCCCACGTCCGTCCGGTCATTTTGAGCCCTGGTTCATCAAATTTGGAGCAGTAGTTGTGAAGTTATCAAGTTTTTGGTGTTTTTGAGAAGTTGAGGGGAGATAAGGGTTTTCTGGGTGCTCAAAGGCCTGTCTCATTTAGCTCTTTTGGCCATTTAACATCCATCAGTGGCTCTGTCCATTTCCCTAATCTGCTTTTTGATAGGACCAGCCCTTGTTGCCCTGCACCATACCCCTTCCTCCTCCTCCCTCTTGCACCTCCGCACATTTTCGCACTTTCACCAGCCCATTTCGCATCGGAACCCACTCGACCCTATACCCGTTTTGAAGCCCTCATTCCAGGCTTTCATTCGCGCCCATCGGCGCCACGATCCGATACTCCGTTCGCCCACCATTCGCATTGTCCGCCGCCCCTCTATTTTATCGCACTTTTACACCATTTTATCTATATCTCCTCACCCTTTGATCACACACCTATCAACCCTATACTTGTTCTGACCGCATTTCCCGCTTCTTTCCATCCGTCCGATCCGTTTCCAGATACATCCGCATGTTCCTCCGCAATCCGCACTTCTCGTGTATCCCTCCCTTTTCCACCATTCTTTTCATATCTTGCTCAGTCCTCCACCAATCCTAGTCGACCCTATACTCATTTTGAAGCCCCTGTTCGCCTCTTTTGATCCGTCTACTCCCCGTCGTCATCCGCGCAACCACTACTTCGCATTTATCGTTTTCATTGTTTACCATTCCTCCAGTACTGATGTGGTTCACCTGGCACAAGAGATGTCAGGGAAAACAGGTGTTGGGGTCATTGTTTTATCCGTCTGCCTGACCCTCATTCACTGATGCAGTTCGCCTGGCACAAGAGATGTCAGGGAAAACAGGTGTTTGAGGACCCCCAGGTTAGTTTTCTTAGTTTAGCTTAGTTTTGGTTTGCATAGGTAGATGACTGGGGACAGTCATGATTTAAAGTTTGTATGAGATGTAGGAACTGATTCCTGGCTAGGCTTGTAGAGACTGTTCTTACCTTAGTGTTATGTTTGTACTTTGTAGCTTACATAATAAAGTTACCTTTTCACCAGTTACCAGTATGAGTCTGAGTACTCAGCAAGTTTCTATCATATTTCCTCTCCTCTGAGCCTTGAGCCTGGTCCAGAAACCCTTTAGGGTTGAATAGCAGCTAGGTTCTGTAAGACCCAACACATCATTCTGAATCACCATCAGAATTGTTGTACCCACAGCAGCTCATTTGTTGGAGCCATGTCGGAAATTCTTAATTTAGATTTCAAAACCTTACAACACATTTCAAGGCCCAAATGCAAAATGTGTCTTTAAATAGGTTGCCATAATAGAGTCATAATTGTCATCGTCATTTAAATGTCAGTTTCAAGCACAGTTGCAATGATGATGAGTCATGACAATCATGACCCATGCTGTTACATCACATGTCAATGGTGGTTGAAATCATTATCACAACATTTATTGCAAAGTCATTGGAATGTGCTAGTAAGCCTTGCAATGGCAATTGCAGGCTGACAAATTTCATTGTAGTGAATGTATATTCTTTGTGATACAAATTGCAATTTATTCCATTAGAGTAATAACACAAATAGATTTCAATATTTAATTATAATAATAATGTTTAGGCCTTCCCAATCATGCATTGACAATGGTCTGAGTATTGAGTGATTAGCATGTCACAAATACAACAGAAAGAATAACATACTAACATTATAATTGAACAGTAACAACAGGATGGGGAATTCAAAACCAAGTTGAACTGAATCTTGGACTAGCACCTGAATCTGGTGGTTACTGCAGTGTTAGTCCAGGTAATAGTGATACTCAAAATAGGTTTTGGAAGGTTTTGAAAACTCACTTAACACACTTTGAACTCTTGGTTAAAGTTGGTTTCAACTTGCTCAAAATATGCTCAGCGCACGTCAGCACAAAGTTGGAGATTCAAACACTTGTGATTTTTCAAAGTGTATGTTCATAGGGGGAAGTCGTACATCGAGTAAAAAAAAGCAACCCATAGTAGATATACATCGTATTTCGAATGTTAACATTCATAAAAAAAGGAGTCCACATGAGAATGAAATCAGCTATAGGTAGTGAATGCCAAAGGACTAAATAAGTGCCGAGGGGAGGAGGACACATGAAAAAAATCTACATGAATCTGCAGAGACGTAAGATAAAGTGAAAGATGATCTTATAGTTGTGGAGAGTATGTACCTTCGAGCTGCTTTCCAGGATGCTGCCACACCTCGAGCCTCAAGTTGAGTGGATAATGGATCTTGAGTGGTGCTGCACTCTGGTGAGCCCATACTGGCACGGTAATATTTGGCAGATAAGTCATAGTCATGTTGCTCAGCAAGTTCCTCACACTCCAACTTCAAGAAGCCATACACAATGCTAGTATGGGTAGCGTGCTGTGACTTGATGAAACCAGTGATGGCTTGAACCACTTTCTTTTTCATAGACGGTTTAGGCTGTACTACATAGTACAGGTTGGGGCGGTTGAAAGACTGCATCAGGCATAAGGGGTTATGTATGCCTAAGCATGCCTTGAGCCAGCTGGATGGGAATGAACACAGAGTCGATCCCTTGAGAAGGGGAGTGTTGGAGCTACAGGGAGTAGTGATGAGTTGGAGGAACCAGCGGCTTGGCAGTAAAAATGAGCTGCTGTTGGTCATGTGTGGGACCAGCACTAGAATAGATTTTTTTAAGATAAGGGTGAATATGTTAGCTGGAACTTACAGGAGGCACAAAAAGTACTTACCTTAGGTTGGTGACACCTGATAACTCAATGTCTTGCTCAGTGCTGTGGGTGAGCATTGAGGCTGGAGGGTGAGGTCAACGATGATACCAACATGCTCACTGTGAGACGAAACTTCGGAACTTTCCAAAATTTCAAACTCTGCCACAAACTATGTCACATATACACAAATGGATAGGAGTTTTGATTCCCTCAACTCCTGCCCCAATTGTGACCATGCCTCAACCATCCATCTGTAAAGAACTCCTGGCTATTGTAGATCAGGCAGAACTTTCCCTGGCCAAGCTACAGTACCAGGATATCCTAGATGATTGGTCTGACTTTGAGAGTGATTCTGACTCTGAGGACTCACTTTCCACTACTTCAGATGATGATAATTCAATCTATCTATCTTTTAGCTCACCTTCCCCCCCTCCCCCCTCCCTCCTCTTCCCTATGACAGGGATTTCAGATTCTTCCAGTGATGGTTCTATCTCTTCTGATAACATCGCTCTACCTTACGACCACCTCTGTGACACCATTAATGCTCTTCATGATGAGGTTAAGAGGGCTCATGTACTCCATAAGCCTAATGAGCCTCCCCCACTAGCACCTCAGCTTCACATGTTGGTTCATCACGAAGAATACCACCCTCATTTGTTTTGGCAGAAACTCTGTGTTAACCCCAAGATCTTCGATGACATCCTCTATTTTATCTCTGATCATCCCATCTTCCAAAATCAGTCCAACAATCCTCAGCTCCCTGTCTCCATTCAACTTGCCATTTTTTTGAATCGAGCCGGCCACTATGGGAATGCTATTACTCTTGAAGATGTCGCTCAATGGGCAGGCGTGAGTGTTGGGTCTGTGGTTGATTGCACTAATTGTGTGATGATTGTGGTTCTTAATGCTCACGATCAGTTTATCTGCTTCCCAGCAGATAATTCTGAGGATGCTGACCTGGCTTGCAAATTTGCTGAGTTGTGTACCTGTCCAGAGTGGAAGGGTGGCTTTCTAGCAATTGATGGCTCAACTATGAATCTTTTCACCAAACCTGGTTACTTTGGTGAGACATTTTATGATAGGAAATCCAAATATTCCCTTGGCTGCCAGGTATTTTTTTTTTAAATTTTCATGTGCAAAAATTAATTTAATTCTAGGCAGTCATTTTACCATATAATCTTCTCATTATTAATTATTCTCTGGGTCATCCTGGGAGTGTTCATGATGCATTTGCTTTTTGATCCACTCATCTTTATGAAGAGCATACTGACCTTCTCCCTAATGGTCATTGGGTTTAGGCAGACAGTGCATACCCATTGGAGCCATGGTGTATTGCTCCTTTTAAGAAACCTCACAATGGGAGGTTGACAAAGGACCAGAAGTCCTTTAATTATCATCTCTTTAAAGTATTTTTTTTAAAATTTATATTTCAGTAAATTGAATTTTTTAGATCCATGTTTGTGTTGAACACACATTTGCAGTTTTGAAGGGACAGTTCTATTCCCTTCAAGAGCTCCGGTTCAGAATTCTGGCTGAGAAAGACCTTGAGTTCACTGTGCAGTGGATCAAGTGCTGCATCATCCTACACAACATGATCGTTCACTTTGAAATTGAGCATCACAAGAGGGATGGGACATATGAGAGTTCTCTAAAGTGGGCTCATGGAGAGGGGGAAGATTTCCTTGATCAAGAAGTTGAGGGTCCAGATGGTGAAGAAGTTGTTGGGGACAGGACTTATGAGGCAACTCCAGGTTAAGCTGCTCATGCAAGGCTGATGAATGTACTCTTTGACAGTCCTCACTCAGATGCACACCATAGGGAAGAATGATTCACCACAATGTTTGATTGGACATGTACTACCACTTAAACACCTGTACAACAAATGTATGTAGCTATGTAAACATCAATCAAGAAAGTACCAACAATTAACCCCAAAAACATGTGCATGCAATGGAAACAAAACATAAAGATGTCAACAAACATATAGCAACAAATGACATAGTGACAATAGATGGATGAGTGACAATGAGATGATAATGAGATAATGAGACGATGAGACAACAACAACAGAGACCACGACAATACGACAACATGATGGAGACAACAACATGACAATACAACAACACAACAACACAACAACACAACAACATAACAACACAACAATACAACAACACAACAACACAACAATACAACAACACAACAACACAACAACACAACAACACAACAAAAAAAAGACTCATACAGCTCCTCCATCTGATGCTGAGGCCTTGCTGGCCTGCATCATCTGGTGGTACTGGATTTTGAGTTGAAGAGTCTCTGCCTCTTTCTTGAGCACCAACAAATGTGCTTCGTGGACTTGGATATCCATCTCGCAAAGGCAAATTTCGGCGTCTTTGGTCTCCTGCAGTCACTGATGGCTTACAGTGGCTTGGAAGGTCTCATACTTGCAGTTAGTGCAAAGCCATTTGTACTTCTTGATGTTGCGATTGTGCTCACTCTTTGCATCGAGCTTCGCGAGGAAGCGCTTGTGCTTGCTGTTGTGGTGGGACATGGCATCAGAGTGCATACTCTGGATCTCATCCTTCACCTGTTCCACCTGTTCCATCACATCCGATTTTGCTTTTTTCTTCTTCAAACTGCCGGCACTGGTTGGAAGTGACATCTGGGAAGTTGGGGACACAAAGTAGTCCGACATTGAGGTGGTATTTCGTGTCGTCAATGTGCTCTGCAACATCTCTGATGGTCATTTGCATCGTCCCCCACAGCTCAATAGCTTCTGTATGCCTAACACTGAGCAGTTGTTGTAGGAAGACATCGGGGATTTTGCAGGTCTGTGGAATGGTTCTGGAGCATTAGGAGGGGGCAATGGTAATGAGGGAAGCTGCTGTTTCTTCCCTGCAACATGGGAAGGACTATCGGTTGTCTTGTCGACCATCATATCATCATCTTTAAGATAATTTAGGGAGTCTCCAAGCGGGGTGTCAAACGGTCCACTAATATCTTGATCAAAGTCATCGTCATCAGCGTTATGATTGTTGAGGGCGTCTTTTGGTGTCGGAAGACCGTGAAGGTGGAATTGGGGGGATGTATTGTAAGGGGCAGTATGGGAGGGAGCAGGAGCAGGAGCCAGAGTAGGAGCAGAAGCAGGAGTGAGGAGAGCAGGAGCAGGAGCAGGAGAAGGAGCAGGAGCAAATTGTGAACTCCCAGCATGAGGTGTTTCAAGGGCATTTGCGTGATATGGTATATGAGGGCCCAGAGAGTATGGTTGGCCATATTGTGAAGGTGGAGTACTGGAAGAATAAGAATGGGTATCATGTGAGGGATATGTGGGAGTGTAAGGTGACCATTGAGAAGTAGCGTCAAAGTGTGCGGAGGGACCAGCCCCATCATGCGGTTGAACAAGTGAATATGATACGCTGGCATGATCAACACCTGGCTTTGAGGAGTGGGTTACTGCGGCTATGGACGGATTAGAATGCCAAATTGAATCTAGTTCTGTGTACCATGGCAGCTTCAAAAGTGCTGCATCTACGATGATCAATCAATTGAGAACTAAAAAATTGGGACCAGGGACTCACCTAATAAGTTCTTTGCTTAGGTCCCTTCAGCCAGCATCACACCAGTGCCAGTGCTGCTGAATGATACCTTGAGTTTCTTGTATTTACCCCTGAGACTGCAGAAATTTTAGTATTTTTATAAACGGAACAAAAAACAACAATGTACGTTCCAATACAGTTGCCAACTGCGTCACAGAATTTTTTGGAATTGATGGCGTACGCAGCACCATACTTAGGGTGGCCTGCAAACAAGAGCTTGGCAATATTCTGGTAGATTTGGCCTTTATCCAACCACGATGGATGGTCATCGACAGCAGCCATTGCTTTTTTCCCATCAGAGTAAAATAGGACCCTACAATCAGCAGCTTGAGTGGTCAGATAGTTCACCAATGTATCAGTAAGAGCGTGGTCGCTTTGCCACTGAATAGCTAGCCATGGTCCAGATGATTCTGGAGGTTTGGGCGGTCCTCGAGAGGTTGATGCATCGTCCATTGCCCTCAAGTGCAATGGAGTGTTAGGTTTGAGGTGTGCAGAATGTCGAACATGTTCACGACGGGCAGGAGGCATAGTTGTTTCGAAGTCCAATATACAATGCTGGCCTGACCTTGAATTGGCTGAGGTTTCTAGCTGAGAGTTTGAAGTGTTTAGCCGGCATTTAACCGAGTTTCAAAACCTTCCAAAACCTATTTTGAGTACCACTAATAATAAACCAATGATCATACAAGAAAATCACCTTGTGATTCATTTAAATGTTGGGAACTTCCATTGCAACGTTGTGGTAGCATGTCAATGATTTATGGGGCTTGAAACAAGTTTGAGAGACAATTGAGACAGCTTAAGGTGCAATTGTGACAGGATTGAGAGGAGGAGTATGAACTTAGATTGTCATAATGAGTCCATTGAATGAAAGGAACAGTGACATGTCAATGAGAAGGGACATCATTGAGAGAAGGACTGATTTTGGAATTCAAGCTCTGATTCTATTATGTTGTCAGGTCTTGAATATTCACTGCCTCCCCCCTAATGATATTGACAATGAGAATCTGTAGTGCTCCAGTAAATTCCACTTCAATAAACATAAACTGTGCAATACACTACTGACTGCATGATACACTCTGTCTTGATGACATTTTTTGTGAAGATTTGGCAGAGGTTTCTGCAGGATTCTGAATTGGACTCTGAATCTGCCTGTCAATTGAGAAACGAGTTGTGCTTGCTGTTGTCTAATACAGTGCAATTGATTAAATTCTTTCATTTTCTAACAAGTGAGCCACCCGGTTTCTTCCTCTTGCCACTCAGTAATACTCACTACAGCCCAAAATTTGCTCATTTAATAACTTTTGCAAGCTGTGACTGGGCCAAGAACCTCATCAGACCCATCCATCACTATCACCGATCTGCTTTCATTTTCCAAGTGTTCTTTGTCATGGTGCCATGCTGCCTAGCTTCAAGGGGCCCAAACCATCCGATGTCATCTTTGTGACTTATATCCATGATACTTCAGCTCATCTGTCACCTCTTATCATATCAATCCTATCAGGTCTCATATTGGTGACATGAATACTGCTGTCTAATCTCTTGTGCACTATTACTTCCATTGCCTATACCTTGGACTTGTTACCCTGTATTATGTAATACTCAGTAGTGTATCATGCACTCGATGTTGTATTGTGTGGTTTATTAAAGTGGCATTTGAAGTATCATAAATGACAGGAATACTAAGTGAATCTATTTATGAGACCGAGTCGCACAAGTTTCAGATGCTGTTACAGTTGCCCTCTTCCCTCTAGCTCTCCCTTATCTGCATCCACATCTACATCCACTGGCGCTGCCCCCATGTCCTGCATTACCTCAGCAACTTGCTCTTCAAGTGGTGAATCCCTCACTTCCAATTCAATGATGTCTGAATCTACTAGGAGTGAGAAGCTCTGGATTGGATTGGAGACCACAATGAGATTGGCTGTTTCAAGAGTGGCAGCTATCTGGACTGAAGTGTTAGATGAATCACTATCCATATCGAGGGCTGCAAGTGCATGCTCAATTGCATCTGTGCGTTCCTCTTGATCTGCAGATTTGAAAGCTGAAACTTTTGCAGCTTTGAAAATATAGTGATTGATATTGGCGACAATCACTACAATGTGTTTCATGTTCCATTTGGTTACCAAAACTTTCTTGTAGTGAAAGAATAAGTTCTTGTAGTTAATGGTTGACCTCTTCCCAATGCCAGTACTCAAAAACTCAGTGTTGGGTGAGAGTAAAAATATTGCCTGCATTGTCAATGTTGCATAAGAACTTGAGTTTGTAATAATTCTACTGACGACTTACAATGACTGCTGCCCAAGCTATTGATCCTGGCATGACTTGGTGAACACTTCACTTGAGAGAGTTTGTATGTGCACCACTGCTGCTCGAACCCTGGAGTGAGGTGACACCACGTAATGAAGCTTTCAGAATCTAAGTAATAATACAATATAAATAATCAGCATAAGAATGGTGCTAGTATTGCTAAACTTATTTGAGCTAGGAGTTCCCAGTTGCCAAAGACAGTCCTGAGCAACTTGTCTTCCTTCAATCCTGGGAACAAGACAGGCGGGAAAGTCTTGTATGCCAGGTCTGTAGCCGACATGACCCCAGTAGCTGTTGTATTTTGGGAATAGTTGCTCTCTTGAAGTTGATGTTAGTGAAATACTTTGAGGGAAGATCAAAAATATTGCCAGCGACACCATGAAGCTTCTTAATCTCATTGGCATGAGTGTCGGGAATGCATTTCAGAACCTACAAAAGAACACTGTTGCATTAGTGACATGTCAATGGTGAGTCAAGGAATGAAAAGCCACATACAAGATTGCTGAAATAGGAAGTTTCCATCACCTTGTGCAATGACTCGGGAAAGTGATGATAGAGCTCATCTAAGAAAGCAGAATCCTGTGTTGCTGCAGTTGTATATCATTTGGAGCTACTGAAGGGAGTTGGAAATTCTGGAAGTTTCTTATTGAGAAGTTTGCTATTAGGAAACATCTCAGCCATCATACCATATTTGTGAGCATAGATGGTGATAGTGTTCTCATAAACACTAAGTTTGTGCTGTGTGTTCATACAGCATTTTCATTTAGGCTTCTCAGCATGCAGAGTCTTGTTTTCTTCCTTGATAGACCTGTTCTCTTCAGAAAGCCTCTGTATCTGGACCTGCAACACTTTAAGGGTCTAAAATCAATCAGGTAATTAGTGAATGCTGAGGGAGATGGATCATTCGTACTTCTAAAAGTTCTCCTTTTAATGTACTTGGACCTGGGATAGAGATGCGACCAACATCATTTGGGTCCCAATCATCAAAGTCACTGTCTGCATCTGAGGATATCAATTGTGAAAGATGCAACATCTCAGCTATCAATCAAAAGCTTCGAGTAATGATTCTGTTGGAAGGGATTCAGAAGACATCAATGCAAAGATGAGTTAGTACCTGCAACACTTTATATCATGTGTGCGATGTGGACATAATGTTGCCTGCAGTAGCTTTATTACATGTCTGCAGTCATAGAATCTTGATTGGATCAAAAGGAAATATTGATCTGCCAATCAAAGACATTAGGATTAGTGTTCCAGTTCAAATCAAAGTGGATATGAGTAAAACACCATGCTATGAATAATAAGACGTGCACAATCAGTGCGCACATAGATAAAAACTGCCATTGTTCATAATGGTAGGGATTGAGTGCACACATACATGCACATCAAAAAACACCGTTATCATTTGTAATAGCACTGGATGTTGCTTTATTAAAAGACATCAGATGAGGAAGCCGTTATCATAAAGACTGCAAAGCATGTGCTTTGATAAAGGCATACCTCAATGTCAGTGCTGATACAATAGGATTCAGTAGTTATCATTAGCTAGTAATTTATCAATGATTGTACCTCAACAGGACCTGCAAGATGTCAATCACCAGTCCATCCAAAATATGACCATGCTTGGAGCACAAGGTATCCAGGCAATCCAGGATGATTAGCATTGGATTCTCTAATGACCAGATTAACAAAGCATGAGACAGCCACTAATTAGTATGAAGGTGAGAAGACATGCACATAGGACCTAATTGTAAACATACCTTTCATGGTAGCACAGTTCTGCATGAGTGTAGTTGTGTAAAGTAGCAGATGATATGTAGAGGAGTGTAATCAGAAGAACATGTCCAAAGTAGCAGATGGTATGTAGAAGAATAATGAAGTGCTAGTCAGATTCAGATGCACACCGGATGTCCTGCCTCCAGATGCATTTCCTTCACACAAAGGAACATATCTGTATCGACTGTATTGACAACAAGATAATTGAGGTTGCTGTCTGGTACTAGAAATGCCCCATGAATAATTGACCTAACTGAGAAAAAGATTTGGACTGTGCGCATGATCTTGCTTGAACTCAGAAAAGGTTGAGTTGTTTGTCCTTTTGAAGTCGTGTGCCTGTGGGAGCATCAAATAGGTGTATAAGAGCAAGGGGAAATGTGTTTTTTCCAACTGGGCAGTTGAAAAGGAAGATGAGGCATCCAAGAATGACCTTTTGCTGAGTCCGGATGAACACACAGTCAAAACACGGTACATTGAAGAACATTGGACTGCATCAAAGATAGTCCATATGCTGCTGCCAGTTCACTAATGACTCGCAATTGACTTGCAGAAATCAAAACTCAGTAATCTGGTTTGCATCACTTTGGTCACCCCATTTCAGGTACCTCTTAGGTTGTATTATACCTATAGAGGTTTTCACCTAGGGGGTACTTTTCAGGTGGTCCGGCCATGTTTGTATGGTCTTTCCCCAAGTGTATAGGGTCCAAAATGAAATGTATTGAGCACGGTCCAGGGGTCAAAATAATTTTTGCGTGGGAAAGACCGCCAGCCAACTTTAGACCACACATACATTGGGAAATTCCCATGGTGCAGGGGTGTCAGGGGTCCTATTATGACCAAATTTTTTTGAAAATTGTGGTTTTTTTTGGTCCTCTCACCCACCTCAGGCAGCACTTCTTGGTGGAAATAAAGGGTCCTGCAGACCTGATTTCTATATTATGGCAACAGGACCCAGCCTCTCTATGGCCTATCAATATATTTTGTCTTCAATGATCCCCAGTAGTGTGAAAAGGAGGATGAGTGTGCAGGGTTTCTGAGCGGATCTGATAGGCAAATCATCAGGGAAGACTAGGGGCAAGCAAGATAATATGGTATATGGATATGTATCACCAAGTGACTTGTATGAGACAGGAACAATAGCACCATCTTGAGGCATCTGGCATGACAGTTGAACTTTGAAATGAGACTTATATTTGGGGAAGGGAAAGAGGCAAAATAATGAGCAGATCTGAGGTAGCAGAAAATAAGCTACATAAAGTGTCTTCCATACCTCACATCCAACTCTGAGAAAGAAAAATGTAGAGCTGTGAGGGTGAGATAGTGAGATCAAGCCAATATGCTTGTGAGGTATCAAACACAAAGACATAGAATATACATTGAAACCATTAAGAGAGTCACCGGGAGAAAGCTAATATGCCTGTCAGGTATTGAGCGTCAAACACAAGGACATAGAATATACATTGAAACCATTGAGAGAGTTACCGGGGGAAAGCCAACATGCTTGTGAGGTATTGAGCGTCACACACAAGGACATAGAATATACATTGAAACCATTTAGAGAGTCACCAGGGAAAGCCAACATGCTTGTGAGGTATTGAGCGTCAAACACAAGGACATAGACTATAAATTGAAACCATTAAAAAGTGACTGGAGGAAGGACCACAGAGACATGTGGGAGGGACCATGGTGAATGGGAAATGACTATACGGAGATATGGAAAGGACCACAGTGGATGGGAAAGACCACATAGAGATATGGGAAGACCCAAGGTAAATAAGAAAGGATTGTAGGGAAGGACCATAGTGAGTGGGAAAGGACCATATAGACATATGGGAAGGACCGCATTGAATAAGAAAGGACCATATAAACATGTGGGATGGACCACGGTGGATGGGAAATGGCCATAGTGACATATGGGAAGGACCGTGGTGAATAAAAAAGGACTGTAGACACATGTGGGAAGGACCATGGGGGATGGGAAATGGCCATAGAGACATGTGGGAAGGACCACAAGGGATGAGACAGCCATAGAGACATGGGATGGACCACAGTGAATAAAAAAGGACTGTAGACATATATGGGAAGAATCATGGGGGATGGGAAATGGCTATAGGGACATATGGGAAGGACCAACATGAGTGGGAAAGGACCACAGTGACTGGGAAAGGACAATCCCACATTTCAGTACATTCACATCATCATCATCATCATCATCAAGTTCATCATTGTTGAAACAGCATAGCCTACAGTAGCACTCAAGCAAGACAAAACTTTGAAACCTTTGGTTGAAATTGCTAGGAATGTGTCTACTTTCTATCCCTCAGAATTTATGCTTGTTACAGTCCCCTCAACTAAAATCCAAGTTCTGTGTGCAATTAGGCTTATGTATTTAATTGTCTATCAAAAGGTCAGGCAAGCTGTATGGCAGGGATTAGACGACTAGTGATGTCAGAAAAGTTGGAAGAGATTCAGGAGATTATGTGACACAGTTCAGGTAAAATTTAGCAGCTAAGCTCGCACCGAATTTTGGAGTCTGATGCTTGAAAACCATAATAATAGATTAGATAATTAAATCTATTAAAATCCTCGAACACCAATTTGAGTTGAGCAAACACAAAATTCTCACTTCAAGTTCCAAGCAAATGAAATGAATAGAGCATAAGTGTAGGCATGTATCATGAGTAACTCTGAATCATGAGTGACAAGAAAAGCATATGAAAAGCATATGAAAAGCATATAAGAAACATGTGAAAAACATAAGAAAAGGACAGCATGATATAACACGATTAGTAGATATTACCGAAAGTGGGCGTGAGCAAGGGCTGCACAGTTAGTAATACTCATCTTCATCTTCTTCGATGATTGCACGGCGATCGGGAGATGCAGGGCGAATATGCGAAGGTCTGACAGTTGAATGATTGCGGCGCTGTGAGGAACCAGTGCGAGAAGTTGGCACAACAGAGGAATGCGACAGTAGCCGAGAACGGGAGGTGCTGGCAATTGGTGCAGAACTTACACGTGCCTGTGATTGGGTGCGGCCTAAAGGTATATGAGAACTAATACAATAGGGCGACAATTAGCCAACACGTTTAAAAGTCAGGGTATAGCAACACACTTCTCATGGACCCTGACACGGTGCCTCTCCTCCACTGTTTCACACTCCAGGTCTTCAGTCTCCCGAGCAGATTCATAATGGGGCCGCGTCCATTTACGAGTGTCTGGGTTATATGTCGGCATAGCATCGTCAAATGCACGTTGATATCGACGTGGTCCATCGTGTGAATGCTCATATCGAGAGCGAGAGGGATATGTTGCGTCCCCGACATGCGGATAACCCAAGGTTGACATAGGAGTTGATGTGCGTGAAATAGGAGGGGGAGACAAAAACTGGGAAGATGGTGCTGGTGGCGACAAAGGCGGGAAATTATCATAGATGGCTCGGTTAGTATGGCGGTGAGAGCGCGAAGCTTCCTGATTGGAGCGCGAAGCTCCCATAGTCGAGCGTGAAGCTGTTAGATTAGACACTGTAGGTTTTTTGATTACCTGTTTGGTGCGGCGTCTAGGAGTGTCGTCTTGGGTGTCGTCTTGGGTGTTGTCTTGCGGAAGATCCTTGATGAACTTCTCTGAGTCTTGGAGGGAGAGAACAACCTTGCTGTTAGTGTCGATGACAAGTGGGATGAGGCACATGCTTGTGGCCTGTGTCTCAACAGTAAGGATATCACCTGTAGTCGTTATATCAGCTCATGTATATTCAAAGCAGCCAAAAACATACTTTCAGGCCATCTGCTGATATGTAAGATGACACTTGGCTCCTCCACCACCGCCCCCTTCTTCCTTCCTTTGTCACCCGACTTCTTGGACTTGCCTTTGCGCTTCTTCGCCTTTGCTGCCTCCGCCTCGCTATTGTTGTCGTTGTCGTCAAGACCTAACTCAGCCTCGTACATCGCTCCAAGATGGAGCCTGAGATACGGAGCTACCAATGCACGTAGTTGACTTGCAGATAGAGCCTTTGATCAAAATCTGGGCCAGGCAGGGGAACACCAGTGGGCCAGTCGTGAATGCAAAGCTTCTCAGTATACAGGATGTCCAATATGGTCAGCCACCTGCTATTGGAGGTTTTGAGCAGATGACCAGCCTCAGCTACTCAATATTTAGTCAGTAGATTAGAAGGATAATCCAATAAGAAACCTATCAAACATCTCACTAATCATCATGGGCGCGACCTTTCTATTCCTATCCCTGGCAGGCTTGCTGTTGCACAAAAGGCTACCATTTGGAGCAGTGGAAGAGGCAGGGAGTAAGCTGAAAGTCTTGCCTTCAGTGTGTGCAGCTTCTAAGTCTTTGTACCTGAAAGTAAATTTAGCACCGACCCCTATAATCAACAAAAGACGTACTTAAGGATTGTGGTGAGCTCATCTAACCAATGCTTAATATCAAGTTGGTGTGAATTGATAAGGGCTTTGACCATGTCAGAGCCGGCGAACAGCCCTGATGCCTGACGGCCTGCCTCTTCATCACCAGGAAATATTGCAACACCGGCAATGTGAATGCCATGGGTGCGATGCCAGTATGCAGCCTTGATAATAGTTCATCTTTGGATTGAGGTTGGATGAATGCCACACTTACTGATTTTGTGAAAGCATCACGAACACCCATCATCATAAGACCTGCAGCAGAATGTGATGTTAGGTCCTCAGTTGTACCCGCGACAGCATGATCCCAGTTTTCCTGTATCTCCTTCCACAACGATGCGTGCTGAGGGTCATCCTGTGGGTGGGCTTTGTAATGAACTTGCTGCTTCACCTTCCAAGCCTTGACATCCTCTGCAAAAGTGATTAGGACTAAGTAGAATAATTGTGAGGATAGCGACACACCTGGCGAGACAACTCCCGATACTCCTTTAGGCAGTGGATGGGTAGCTGTGAACCACGTCTGGTGTTGGTTCCATGGAGACTCCTTGTGGGTAGCCTTCATAGTCAACCCAGCCTCGATGAGGATTGTCCGCGCACTCTTCCCATATTCTTGACCCAGTGTTCTAGCAGCTTCCAATGTCTTCTTCCCAAGCTCTTGCGCCTTTAAGATGCCTACTTGGGGCATTCTTCCTTTGGTCTTCACAAAGTCTTTGTCGTCCTCATCTTCACTTCTGTGATGTTCATCGACCTCAACCGTTACCTTGAGCTTTTGCTTTTGCTTGGCCATCAATCACGGTGGAGATGGGGGATCGGCTTCAGAGGGAGCCTCGTCGTCTTCACCGTGATTCACAGCAATATCATGATCAGTAGTTTGTTGCGCTTTCTTCCGCTGCTCTTCGTCAACAGCCCAGTCACTGTCGGATGGAGAGCTCTCTTCACCGGCACTGCGATCAGGTGCATATGACTTGACGCCACCTGACCTACGTGGGCGGCCGTTAGTAGAAGTAGCTGTATTCAATATTAATTGAGTTATGAAATACGAAAATTGTTCCAGACTTACCTGAAGTTTTGTGGCCATCATCATTCCCACCTTCCTCTGGGTAGCGTGACTTGGTAGAGGTACCTGCATTTACTATTAGTTAAGCTATTAAATACGAAAGAATTGACTGACCTGAAGTATCCTTGCCATGATCCTTGTTGCTATACCCTGCATCGTGGGACTCAGTACAAGTATACATTACTATTGGTTGAGCTATGAAATACGAAAGAGTGAATATGTCTCACCTGAAGTCCCCTGGTCATTGACATTCCTACCATTGAGATCATTTGTCTGACTTTGAGAGATAGCATTCAGATTCTCGCTCGCAGTAGTGGCGTGTTCTCCAGTAACGGGTGTAGGAGCTGGCAAATGACAAGTTAAGACAGGACATTCATACCATAATAAAATGCTTGCCTGATTCTACATCGCCTTCTTGGATGTCAGCAGATACTTCTTCATCTGCAAGGAGGCAAAATTTGGCATGTGTTAATGAAGTGTCATCAGCAAGTTGAACATGAGATGGGTGGGATTGCTGATCGATAGCGATGTCGGAAGTTGCTGGAATCATTGATGAGCGCCTTGAGAAACTAGCCTCAAAAATCTCCTCTTCAGCAGATGAGGTCATGGGGCCCGAACGCTTGGACTGTGCAAGCGGACGAGGCTTGGGTGGAGGACGAATAGACAGCTAAGAGGTCAGTGTGGATATCAACACATGGCAATCACAACTTACCTCTGGATGGTCGTCGCCGTGGTCGATAACACTCTTGGGGCCAGCGCGACGGCGGGGGCAAGACCGTTTTGGAGGTTCAAGGGCCTAAAATAATGGGAAATTAACCATGATGGACAAAGCTTGAAACAAGAAGACTTGCCTCGACGTTATCCGCATTGGACGCCTTCCTGCGAGTCTTGACATGATAGAGGAGTCAGCTGCTGAAGACGTCAAGGAAAGAAAAAAAAATACCTTGTGTTGATCAGGCAGAGGTGGGTGCCTGATGTGACAGCCTGAGCGGGTAGTTATGGCAGGCATTTTCAAGAGAAATGATAGTGTTCCTACGATCGCGGAGATACGTGGAACACAAGTTGAGAACTCGAAGTTTGCTCAACAATGTTTGACTGACATGAAGTCAGACAATGTAAGAATAAGTAGGAGAGCAAACTGAAAACAATATTGGTTTGAGAAGGTAGAATTTGATGTGCTCGAATTGAGACTCATTGCCTTTATATTTGAAAATAATGGGCATTGTTGTGATTATCGCTACTAGTAGTGGGGCACAGCCCTGAAGCTAAACATGGTTAGCAGTAAAGAATGAAACCATAATTGCAATAGCGACCTTGGCCTATGTACAATGCTAGACCCCTTACAAGTGACTAAAAGAAGAAGATTATGATCGATCAATTAAGTCAGAGACCTAGCTAGGAAATCTAACTGTTTTGAGAACTTACGTTTTTGAGAAGTGATAAGAATCTCGGCTGGTAGGTCACCGTATCATATGGTTAGAGAAACATCCAGGCCTGCCGATTGCTTAAGAACAAGTCAGACACCTAAAAGTATATGTACCTGAGCACCAGGCATTAGCAAATGAATGTTGAGAGATGAGAAGGCTGCTCATTTCCTAAAAAAGAAGTCAGGACGTTACAGTATATCATCAAGAGCGTAAGGTACATGTAGATTTCGGCCAGTAGATGAGGGATTAAGTGTGAGGTGGCTGCTCCAGATACTAGCATGGCCAAGGTGTGAGGTACGCGTTTGACCATCTGGGTGGAAGGTTAGTGTTCGTGGAGGTGAAAAGATAAGGTGAGAATACTCACTTCACGGGCCCACCGCAGTGCTTTCATCTCTTGTTGCATACCGCGCTTACTACGGAATTCATGTGCAATCCATTCCTCTAGCAGGTGTTCTTTGATCTGGTCGTCGGGGAATCAGTCTGCGAGGTCACCGATGAGGCCAAAGGAGAGTTTCACAATAGAGTTGGATCTCCCTCGTCTGCTAGACATTGATGGACGAGCTCAAGGATGGCATGTAAGGGAGTAGTGCGGGTGCTAGGGACGATTGTGAGTGGCAAGATGAATCTACAAGAAAAATGCAAACCTCTCTGGGTATTCTTGAATGCAGTGACGACTACAGTGTATGTCTCTAGAATTCCTTCCCGTAGTTGAGCAACATATTTTATGAGATCAAATTTGAGCTAATGAGTACCAGTTAGCCCTGACACGTTCAGAAATACATAATCCAGCTCACAGGGTTGGGTTGCACAGAGAGTGTTTGTCTGAGATGATTTGAAGACCTGCCTACTGTGACACAGGTACTCGGAATACTGATTGGATGAGGTCGAAAACAGAGGTATCCTATGTTGTCGTCTATGCATTTATTGCAAGTGAATAAACAAAGTAAATGCACTCACCAATGACTGAAGTCTTCAACGAATTGCCAAATAGCCGCTGGGTAATTTCGATAGAAGTCATATCCTGTGTTGAAGTGTGAATGAGCATGTTGCTAAGCGAATGATGTGTAGACGCGGCTCACCGATGCTGTAGATAAACGTATATGATTCAATGTGAGATTGGAAAGCGTTGACATGAAGTGACGGGTGCCAGAGTCAAGTGTGATGGGCATCAGGAGACGTTATGATGGAAATATATTGAAAACTCATGGATTACACCGACTAGTGAAATGTGAATCGACAGACAAGCGAAATACAAGACAAAGCACACCCAAGAGGGTCTTCAATTTCACTGGCGCAGCAACGTGTGAGCGACCGAGGTGACCCTCCAGATGCGAAGTCTAGGAGTGGAAGATCAGCGATGCAAAGTCAACTAATCAATGAGCGAATGGCACGAAGCCAGTTCAAAAGCACTGGGAACCGTTGGAAGGTCAATCGAGGGTGGGGGGGCATAATCAAGAATGGGGAAAGCATAATCAAGGGGCGGGAATAGTATAGAGGATGGAGTGATAATGTTATTGATGCTGGTCCATGTCCAGTATGAAACTGTGACATGTTGCATTTTGGGACTTTCCCACAGGTTCACAAACTTCGACAAATGAAACTGCGATTTGGGAAATTCCCACAGCTTTGTTTCTTGTCTATTTCCTTCTCTGTATTCCCTTCCCCTAGTTCCTTTCAAGTTCTTTCCTTACCGTCAGTTCCCAACTTTGAGCGGTCCTTCGTCACTCAGCACATCAAACTCATCAAGCTTGTCGAACTCGTCAACCTCATCACCGCAATTGATCCCTCAAAGGTCCCCGGCGCTTTTGAACTGGCTTCGTGCCGTTCGCTCATTGATTAGTTGACTTCGCGTCGCTGATCTTCCACTCATAGACTTCGCGTCTGGAGGGTCGCCCTGGTTGCTCACATGTTGCTGTGCCAGTGGGTTGAAGACCCTCTTGGGTGTGCTTAGTCTCATATCTCGTTATCTCTGGTGCGCCACACACTCCTGCAGACCTTCTCTGATTTTTCAGGTATGCCAATCATTTCACATTTCACTCGTCGGTCTAATCGGTGAGTTTCTGATATATTTCATCTATCATAACGTCTCATGATACTCATTGTACTTCATGCACTATAGTACTTGTTACTTTAGATACGTCCTCTTTTTTGGTAAGTGCCCTTTCCTTTACCTCACTAACCATATATTGAACGGTGCTTAGACTCTCATAATACAAAATCAAACTCTTGAGGTGTGTTTTTCTTGTGCCTGTTATCGCACCTCCTAAACTTTGCAGTTTTTCATCATGCCCAATGCTTTGACGATGTTCAAGGCTGATCCGAACCTTTGTGCATGTATGTGATGCTCCTCACTTAACATTTCAACTTACTCATGCGCATGCATACCACAGCGTGGTTGCAATCTTTTGATGCCTACGCAGTCACTGTCCAGGGCAATTTGGTCATCACCACGCCCAACATGGACTTCGTCCCTCAGTTCCACCACTTCGAGGAAGAAAATGTACAAGCACGTGCCGATGGGCGTTTTGGTGTCATCAACTGCTTTCAATGGCCTCAAGCCTACGACAACATCTTTTGCAATTCTGTCTGCATTCCCTGTAAGGAGCTCTACCCATTCCCGCACCCGCTTCACTGGGCATGGTTCACCCCCAACCAAAAGGACTTCAAGGCCATTCCAGGCAACTCATTTCCTGTAGGCACATTAGCTTCTGACAAGGTCGAAGGATTGGAGTCACTCCTGAAAATGGCAGACAAGCGTGTCCAGGACTGGAGGGCCAATCGACAAGGCAAGAACGACGTCATCATCAATCGCGTTGCATCTCTTCGACATGGTATCTCGCGGCTCAAAAAACATCCCCTAACCTTTCGCGATCTCCTCATCTTCGTCACAGATGCCCAACGCCTATTCCTTGAAATTCACTCCTTCATGGATTGGGTTCTCATCACCCAACCTCGCATCTCCTCCGGCATTGGAGCCAACACTGTCAATTCAGCCTGGATGGGCACTTTCACGCACGACAGTGACATGTGCAACAAGCTCCACATGGCTGGTGTCCCCGTCTGGTATGTCTGTACAATGGCGTACATACCCGCTAATATGAAGGTGATGAAACCCGTATTAATCACACATCCGGATGACATCGTCATCTCGATGTATGCAGAGGGCAACAAAATCCACCCCTACGACATCATCTATCATGGTCAAGGTGGCCACCAGCGTCAACTTCACGTTCGCCGCCTATACAGTGGCACAACTTTCAAAAATCCTGATGGGCCGGTTGCTTCAACAAGCAGTTTCTCTACGCCCAGTTCTTCTACTCTTCTGTCATGCTCTAAGCCATCCGCTGCTGCTGGAAAGGCCCCTCAAAAAAGTCAGAAAAAGCATAGGTGACAACCTTGTAGGTGAACCTATTCTAATTGGTTACATTACTTACTACTGTATCAGATGTGAGAGAGGCTCGGCCCACCCAACCGTCCCAGTCAGGCAAATCCAGGGACAAGTGGAAAGACCCTGAAAGCCCATATCTTCCGCTGTCTATCCTACACTGGGATGATGCCCTCAAAACTTGCACAAAGGATCCGTCTTGTGTGCATATGCCCTATGCAATTAATCAGGGATACAGATTCCCCAAACCCACTCTTCTCCTCAGTCCAAAGCTACCAGAGCGCCTGCAAGGTTATATTACCACCTAGCTCGCTTGTCGTCCGTTATGGATTAGCCGAGTCGATCACGACCCACCACGCAATTACCCTTCACCACAGCTCTGGCGCAACTTCCTTGGCAGCGGATTGACAACCCAATCACAAGGTGCTGCGCCCAAAGGCAAAGATCCCAAAAAGAAGGGTCTTACGGCAGCGGAGAAGCGAAAGGCGGTGATGAGGGACTTATTTGGTGACGATGTGTTGGAGACTCACGGAGATTTGTTTGCACCAGAAGGATCGGTGGAATTTTGCGGCGAACAAGTGTCGGTTGCCAGTCTCGCTAACCCTCCACGCCGTCTCGCCCAAAGGATTACATGGGAGTTATATGAGCTCGGTTTCTGTTACAAACTGAGGGATCTCGATTGCCACTTAGTCCATAAACGCTGGGCAGATGATCCGACCAGTTGCGAGCAACTCCTTCATTCCATATTTCCAGGCGAGGCTGGTTTGGTCATGTGGTCAGAGCCATTTCCGGGGGATAACTACGGCATGTGGAATAACACCTTAATTGGTGTTCTGCCTTACCTGGAAAAATTCCGGGAACTCCTCTGTGCTTGGAACAATGTCCCGCCGCTTCTGGTTGTGCCTCTGACCCCAGAAAACTTCACCGATACCAAGTGTTGGGAAGTCATGCATGCTACAACTACCTTTTATGTGCAGACATTCTTTTGTCATTTTGGCAGGCCCCCCATCGTTCCTCATTCCCTCCCTTTGTAATCGATATCATATTTGTGCTACGCACTTATTCCTTTAAAATTTATGTTTCTTCTATAAATGACAATTGTATAACTTTCCATTACTTACTACTCGCTGTAATGCGTCAGATAAGGTTATATTTTGTGTTCGTAAGCAGCATACCTTGCAATGTTCGCGTCCCAATTTAGTGGCACGGTGAGTGATCCTTCAGCTATGTCAGATCTGATATATTTTTGTAGGCACATTATTCCCAAGTCATAGCCAGCGACTGATGTCGTTCTGCTATTGTATTTTTGATATTCATTTTTTCTTGTACTAGATACTTACATCATCCTATCTTCCTTATCTCCACAGCCATCTATCCATCTATTCGTTTATGCAAATCAGGTTTGTATTTTCAGAAATT